CAAAAGTGCTGATAATAAGAATAGTTTTGACATTTTTAGTATATGTGACCAAAAACTATACAAAACACAAACTATTGTCTCAATCTATGAACCGATGCCTTAAATAGTGAATTGATCCTACATGTGGTGATCCCACTAATAGTGGTGGTGATGTCATCCTACGGAATAAGAACCGGAATATCACCACCACTTCAAATGATTGCAAAGATTATCGATTTTAGATTATTTATAATTTAATTCCTGATTAAATTGATTATATTATTCCAACGAAAAGCTCACATTTTTTCATTACATTCAATCAAATTTAATTTTTTATAATGTTTTTCAAACACTTTTTCAAAATTCTTATATTATCATTTATAAAAGAATATTTTGTTTTAATTTTAAAATATAATTATTTTTAAAAATTAACCCTCCTGAAACATTATGAATCACAGGTACTTAGATTCATCGATATAAACATACTTCAAAATGATAATTAATTGATTATAAATTAAGTAGTTTTAAGAAAATTATGTAATTTCCTAGAAATCGTTAATTTGATATATTCCAATATACACGTACAATATATTGCTTGATAAATTAAATTCAATGTTTAAGTGATTCATTAAATATCTTATTTACACCTTTAAACTATTAATACGATAGACCTATGTAATGGATTAATACCTAATTGAATTGTTAAGTAGTTAATATCAGTGTAAAGGTGTGGTATATAAATGAAATACTAAATAGACTTCCAAATCCTTACGAAATCTGGTATAAAATGATATGTTATTTAACCAATATTAACTTATATTAATTATTATTTTCAGTGTAACTCAAGTAACATATAACAATAACAATTGGTATAAGGTAAAAAATTATGTAAAATCCTGCTCTAATTGTAGTTATTATATTTTGACTTGTATTATTCTAAATAAAATATTTATTATTTTCCAAATGTTAAAGGTAATTTATAAAATAGATATATTTCCATTAGGAATTATAAAAGAAATGACAACTTTTATTTTTATTTAAAATATTTTAATATAAATGTGATATTATAAAATGAAGCATGGTTAAACACCATTTTATTGATTTTATAGTCTGTCATTAACATAATTTTTTGTATCAGAATTAATATTATAATACAATTTATATTACTAGTTAAAAATGATCAATTTATAAAATAAAATATTAACAAACGTAAAATATGCTAAACATTTTGTTGTAAAATTACAATATTTAATTTATTATATATCCGGTACCAATCTGTTTAAATCTGCATCTAAATGGTACAAAACATTACTGTAATTCAATTGATAATTTTAAAAATTAACATTTACAAAATTAACACATAAATATTAGTATACTTTCATGTATACTATTAATACCTAGTAATGCCCTAGTAATAAACACCATGAACAGATAATATGTTCTACGGTACATATAAGTTAATATTTACTGTAGTTTTAATTGTTATTTAAATGAAAGCCATAAAAACATAGTCAGAAACTATCAGTTTGTATTGAGTGATCACATTATATGAAAATAGAAATTTTATTTATCATTAAAATAATATAAGTTAAAATATTATCTTATTCGTATTCATTCATTATCTATATTATAATATTTTAAAGTAATTTTAATTTAATATTTAATAAGAACCTTAAATAATTTATAATATTCATTATTGTTTATTATAAATTTTGGGTAATTATATCTCAAATGATTTGTAATAAATATTAAATAAATAATAATTTAGATTGCATTTACGATTAATCAAGTATTATACTTTTATAAGATTAATATTATATGGGAATGGTATTAGAAATTATTTCATCCTGGTGTATAACACATTAGTTTATACACCGGTGCCATCACATTTGAGGTCCTTCTGAACCCAAGAGGTGTGTTCAGGACAGGTACGCTCATGGAGGTACCAGCCCTGGCCTGGGATCCATTCGCACTGGTAGTATTTATGGGGATCACTGGGATGTGGCATATATTTATCCTTGTTGCAATAGTAGTCGATACTACTGGTTGTTGATCCAGCGGTCACAGTGGTCGGGACGGGAGTAGTAGTTGTGGTGGTAGTGGTTGTGGGCTTAGGTGTTGTAGTTGTGGTAGTAGTGGTTGTTGTGGTAGTGGTCGCTCTAGCCTTACCTAATTATTACACATATTATTTATTTGTAATTATAAAGTATAGTCATTTTAAAGAATATTGTGGATGACATACATTGTCGAGTTACCTCATCCCAAGTACCACCATCTGGACAGTGCTCAAGCTGTTTATTCCAGCACTGGTCGGGTACGTACTCACACTTGTAGTATGAGGTGGGATCGGGTCCCGGGATAAACCCTTCGTGTTTACAGTAGTCGTCAATACTGCGGGTAACGGCCGGTCTGAACGGACCTTCAGTATAGGCACCTGTGGTTCAGAATTAAAATTTTTAAATTTTAATTGAATGTAAATCATGAATACATACCCTGACAGAGGGCTACGGCTCCCAAAAGTAGAGTTAACAAGAAATTTGTCGACATGTTTGGTATATGTGACCAAAAACTATAAATGACACCAATTATTGTCTCAATTCATGAACCGATGCCTTAAATAGTGAGTGAATGTAGTCCTTTAGAAACTGAACAGAAATTGTAACACATTTTTGTATATTTTATATCTTTTTGTATACTTTTATTTAATACTTGATTAAACTGATTATATTATATAAATCGTGTTGTTTTCTTAGAAATACATTTAAAATTAAACTAGTATCAAGTAATAATTCTCAGAAATCAATTATAAAAGAATATTTGATATAATTTAAAACAATATATTTTTATAATTACATTTTTCTGTCTAATAAACAGTACGACTAACAGGTGTTTGAATCCCTCGACATAAAACACATCAATTGATTATCAAATGATTAAATATTGAGTAGTTTAAAAAATTTAAGTAATTTCTAAGAAATTAATATTTTCCAACCAGGACATTAGTTACAATTTAATTTGTTATTACCGGTACAGTATTATCATATTATAGCACCAGTTGCTCAGTTTAGTAATAATATAAACAAAATATTGATTAAGATTGTTTTAATGTAGAGTTTAAACAAATATAAGATTAAATTACAAAAATTTAGGCAAATATTTTGAGTTTTAGTTTAAATATACAAATATATGAAAGAATGCATAAATAGACGGAAAATCAGATCATTTGTTGGCGGAAGCGGTTTTTAAACAAATATAAGATTAAATTACAAAAATTTAGGCAAATATTTTGAGTTTTAGTTTAAATATACAAATATATGAAAGAATGCATAAATAGACGGAAAATCAGATCATTTGTTGGCGGAAGCGGTGGTAGTCTTGAATGAATGGGAATCACTCGCCAAAGATTTTCGTAATGAGTCCGTTGGCAACCAAAATGACACCACATTTGCCGTCTTTGGAGGAAGGAGTGGACGAAATGCTGACCAATTGGTCGCCGAAATACAATTTGAAGCCAAGATGTGAAGCCATTTGTTTTCATGAATGCATTGAACGCCTGTTTGTTGTAACGATAGGTCTCTTGAGTTTTGGAGACTTTCTTAAACCCCGAAGAATCACAATCTTTGGACTCCATATCCGCTGTGTTACTGATCACCTAAACATGTAATGAATAGAAACGTGAAACATGTGTTTCATATATGTCTCAAACGACTACAGACCTGCCAGAGAAGGGTTTCCATAAGATTGGTTTTCTCTGTAATCTCTTTCATGTTATTTAACTCCCGGCTCACTTTACTCTTAGTGTTGGGAATACCACCGGAATTGACGCAAAACACGGTCTCGTCGACGGTTAGGGCGATCGGCATCGACTCAAACACAGCGGTAATGCAGTCGTGAATGCGTTGGCCATTACTGTCGCCATATTTGGCCACACATTCAGTGTTGAAAGGGTTGCCCGCGTTCTTCACTTCCTGGCGACCCCTCAATAGGAAGACTTTGTGCGCAAACATGACTTTGAAGGCAATCAAATAGACGATACACTCGACGCCCCACTGGCCGGCCATCAAATTGTTGCCTAAAAACACATAATTGGCTAAAAGTAAGGGGAATCGGTTCCAGATGGTGGCCTCCCATTGCAGAATACGCTCAAAATGGCCACAAATGTCACTCAACACATACGCCGGAGAATTGATTTTGATGTGTCTCTTCTCGGCCTTAAAGATCACTTTTAAGTGATTGCATAAAATGATCTGAAAATACGATACAATTGTCAGTGAATTAGTGCCGCAATAGTGGTGTATATCTGACCTATAGGTTGAGAATCTGTACACAAGAGCGGGCCTTTGCGAGAGTGTTGTCCACACAGACCCTCACCCTTGGGCTTCCGGATGAGAAGGGCATCACTTTTCTTATGGACAGACAGCCTCTCCTCAGAGCGAGCGGCCACACAGTTAACTACCTGTGCGAGCACAGCCACCGACCACCGACACAGACCAGACGTCCCTCTGAATCGTTTCTCGGACACCGCTTTCATCAAGTTTTTCAAAGCAATCGATGACTTGCTTTTGTGTCCGAAGACTCCTCTGGCGTCCACCGCTTTGGCATTCATCTTGTCGTCGGTGTCGCCCCTATTCATGTCTTTTAACATATTCTTGAGTTCCCTGTCGTTGAGGTATCCGTCGTTGTCTCTGTCGTAATATCTCAACACAAACTTCACCCGATCCTCCAAATGCGGACTTCCGGACTCCATGGCTCCATGAGCGCCAACCCCAGGAACAGCTGAAAGAAGCTCAAGAAGTGGTTGTGATTGAAGTCAAAGGCGTTGAATATTGCCTTCAGTTGGTTAATGTCATCGATTCGCACGTATTTCGTGAGATAAGCCCGAAACGAGTGGAAAGTCTTGTGAATCGAGGGATAGCTGTGCCGCAAGAAGTCTCCGTAAGCCGTCTTCACGTGTTTGCGGCTGACGTCCAGTGTCTTCAGCAGATCCGCCTCTCCCTTACCCTCCCATTCGTAGACATCCTGAAGGCTGTACTCCTCGAGCTTCTGCGAAACTGGAGTTTTACACAAACGGGCGAAACGGATGACTTCGTGTCCCCAAACCTTCTCCACCGCACCTCTGATCATATCATTCAATGGGAACCATTGGATTCGCTTCGTATTCACACAACACTTGTATTCTTTGCTTTCGCCTAATTTGACGAAATGTGTGAATCGGGTGGAGAAGCGCTTGCTTTCCGGCTCTTGGATGCGACAGATGTGTAGACAAATGGTGGACGCGATGGGAATGTCGACACTGTTAGGCATACCGTCCGCCAGTTCGGGCGCATCGCTGGTGTTGAGCACCACTCAGACGGACTCCTCGACGTTATACCTCTTGTTGGCCGGGAAGGCGACGATTGGGAGCCAAACAGGATTCACGACTGGAGTCAGTGCTATCTTCTCGTGTTTGGCGCAGAAGATGACAAAAGCCAAGCAATTATATACGTCTTCACCGGTATTTCCAGCGATGGGTAAGAGATGGTCGACAGGAGCGGCGCCCAAATCACTGCCCATTCCGATGGATGTGTTACTCATTGTCACGGAATCCGGCGATTAGTCGACAGAATTGGTTTAAGAAGAGATTACTTTTAAGCAGTAATTATCTGTATATCAAAGGATTGGTAATAATGTGAGGACAATGTGTTGATAATGACAGTTAACATACGTTTGAGTGGAAATCAACGGTAATTGTTATTTATTGCAACAGTTTGTGGCAGTCATTGAGATTCAAAATTACAATTCTCGTCAATTTACTGTAAGTTACGGTTTATTCATATTATTCTGTATATGAGAGACAACTGAAAACTTTTTATGCAATCAATTCATTCAATTGCTTTCACTTTGAGGCCAATAATGACGTCANTCGGTTATGAACTGGACGGGCGGTCAACTGAAGCGCTTCAAAGTGGGCGGCGGTAAGGCTTCGGCCAAAAGTCACGAAAGACTTCTTCAGAAGCGGTTCATAAGAGAGAAAGAGTTGCAGAAAATGAAGACAAAGATCAAAGTGGCCGCAGAAATGGCACCACAGAGTGGACACTGCGATGAGACGAGTGGCGCCACCACTTCCAGTGGGAACCACTTTCCGAGTTCAACGTCACGGCAACTGATCCAACAGTTGAAGAAGTCATCGGAAGCCAAGACAGCGATGGCTGAGTCGAAGACAGAATCGACGACAACCACTGAATTCTTTGTGAAGACATTAAATGACAAGAAATACTCGGAGGAAGTGATGAGTCAATTGGTTTGGAAGTATAGCTCACGAGGAGATCAATGATCGGACATTCAGTCATAGAATCGATTCATTAGTTTATTACAGAATAACACATAATATCTCGAATTAATAGTTACTTTTGTCTTCAAATATGCCTTAATTTTGTCAATAATTTGTGATTAATATGCTATAAAACTCTTAAAATATGAATCGGATGGCAAACCATTCATTATTTCGCTGTCTTTCCCCTTATTCTTGTAAAAATCCAAACCTAATTAAAATCTCTATAAAAATTGTGTTTTGAAAACATTATAAAAATTGTTTTTCTTTTTTGATTCAATTGATCTTTGATTAAAAACATTTAAATACATTACTTTTGAATACATATTTCAATTGATATTTTGTTTAAAATCTAATTTAAGTGAATGTCATATAAATGACTTTTAAAACAACACAAACAAACAGTATTATACTGAATGTAATTTTAATTATTTACCGTAATAGTTACTATTCCCATGCATTCAACTATATCTAAAATCTAGCATATATTTCCACATAAGATATCATACTTTTAAAACAACACAAACAAACAGTATTATACTGAATGTAATTTTAATTATTTACCGTAATAGTTACTATTCCCATGCATTCAACTATATCTAAAATCTAGCATATATTTCCACATAAGATATCATTGGACTAATTGATCAGTAAATAAGTGTTGAGTTGTGAGCAATATATATGGTATGAGTTGATTGTCTAAAGAATATTAGTTCCTCGAGAGTCGACAATCTTCTGGACGTAGTCTGGGTTGTGGTCATCGACTATATGTAACAGAATCCTCTTAAAGGACAAGACGTGATCATAAGTGTGTGAGTCGTTCACCAGTTTGTCCATCAATTTCAACGGATCTAAACACAATGTTATCCAAAATAATCAATG